ATGATGTGCACGAGAAGACAGTTCATTCTCGACTTTTATTTAAATCAGGCTGTGGTCCACCAGATGTGTTTCATCGAGGGCACAAAATAACGTAACAATCCTCATTGCATTAAAATTTGGGATACGTAAAAAAAAAACATGAAACAGATATCATGAGGCACCGACACGTTAAGGATTCTCATTGCCACGGTGAGTCAGCTGTAGAAAAATAAAATTCTCCAAAGTCTACTGTAGCGTGGCTTCTGGGATTTACTTGTTGACGCCTAACCCCTGTATCAAAAGAAAGCCATTTGTCCCACAATCATAGGGTAAACGACGTCCCTGATCAATGTCTTCGAGCGGGGAGGGGATCCCGCCACCTGCAGCATTTGACCCCTCACGCCGCTCTGGGGCAATGCCAGAGCGGGCTGCAATTCAGAGGGTTTGCAGTGCCAATTAGTCCGTTTCTTAGTTATGCACCTCCCAACGATTTCAACAATCCTCTTAAATATATTGTTGACGGCATGCAACGTGGCCTTTAATTCCAATGAGCACGGTTGGCTACATCCGGTGCAAAATAAGATAAAAAAAAAATACGTACACGATACTGTAACAACCACCACCCACCCCCCCTTTTCCATTGGCACATCCACCTCGAGCCAGCACGGACCCCCCCCCCACAGCACGGTTTTTCACCGCTTCTTTTCCGAGTCAAGCCAGAACCAAACTGTGGAGCGTTGGCCTCACGAGAAACCAGCCGACTCCGGCTCATGGCCAAGCAAAGGAGCGGGAGGACGGAGCGGCCAAATGTCACCGACCGCTCAACGCAACGCCCCGGACCGCGTGGCGACGTGCAGCTGCACGGTTCGGCTGCTGCGGTGAGAAAATAAAACTGCGTGGTGCCTTTTCGAGCTGCTCGGGGGCATGGCTTGGCACGAACCGGAGAGGCTCGCCTCGTGCGGCGGCGGCGGCGGTGGTGGTGGTGGTGGTACTTGCCCCACTGGTGCAACAATCGGCACTAACCTCGCCCCCCTCTGCACCGCTCAAAAGTAATAAAGGATCATTTCCAGACCCCCCCCTCCTAAAAAAAACGGTGCCATTGTATGTGAAGTGCATAAGTCGAGTGACTAAATGTGTGTTCAGTGCTACTGGTGGCTGGACTTTATAAGTTTCTGTGTAGAATGGTCCTCTTTAAATCTTGGGTCTTCATGTAATTGCACACTCTCAACCTTACAAATTTAAGTGGGGGGGCTGCCAATGTCTTTTTTTGCGTACACTTTTACAGCACGCTAATTTTCAAAACAGAAATTCCATCGAAGAGAAACATGGCGGAGTTGTGACGAAGCGGGATATTTGGCTGCGGAAATCGGCTTGCGCTGAGAAAGGTTTAAAAGTCGGCAGCCGACTGCGAACATCCGTAGGGTTGACAAATCAGTATTTACGATACGTCTTTGATACGCGGCATCCAAATGCATATCTGCGGCTCAGGGGTAGAGTGAGCGGCTCCCAATCGAAATGTTGCAAGCTCAAATCCTGGTTGGGGGTTGACTCGGCCCAACATCCCTCCTGGGTTATGAATTCCTGCAGTCACGAAAGCTTTAAATCAAAATATAACAAGTACCACTTTGTGGGAAAGTTAAGTGGTTGTCCTATGGACAGACTCGCCACCCCGCCCCTGCCTTACCCCACCCACACCATAGGAATGTGGAATTTCCACTACTGGCTCAGGGCTGTCCTCCGCCGCCTCAATGCACATTTGGGCAGGAAACCACTTCGCCTTGTGGGTGAACGCATGGGCAGCCCCATGAGAGGTGCAGACTCAGAGGCAGAATAATAGGACTACAGCACTCTCGCCGAGTCTAACAGTGAAATGAACGCCTGCGCGATTAACCACATGCCCTCTTTTCTGGGATATATAAAACCAACATTACATTAGCAAGGTAAAGCTCTGTAGATTATATTCTTAGTTTTTTCGGTAAAGTCACGTTGAAGGGAAACAACAAAATAATAAAATATATATAAAACAATAAATTTATGCAAACCAACACACCTGAAGACGACCGTTTGAGTTATGGTCGAAACGTCGTGAGAATTTTTTTTATTGTTTTATATATATTTTATTATTTTGTTGTTTCCCTTCAACGTGACTTTACCGAAAAAACTAAGGATATGAATTACTGCAGTCACGAAAGCTTTAAATCAAAACTCTGTAGATTACTTGGGTTTTAAAACGTAATTTTTCCGCGTGTGTGTGTAGGCCACGTGGTTAACAATACGTAGAATATGATCGGAGCCAGACTCGAACGCTCGCGTTACACACGCTGCACGAAGGCGCGCAGTGTGCTGCTCCTCAAATGGAGAAGTGCAGGGACACTCCGATTTGAATCGTCTCGCAAACACGTCGTCACTTTGTGAACACCACTGCCGGATTTGCACCGCCTCGACCCACACACGCCGCCGCCGGCATCGTCCGCCCCCCCCTTCCTCGTTATCCGTCACCTCTCAGCCTTCGCCTCCACCATCTACGCCGCAAAGTCACCTTGATTGACGTCGTGTCGACGTCCGTCGTCGACACGTTTGAGGAACCCATCTCCGATCTAAACCCGGGCTAATTACCGATGAGACAAGACGCAACAGCGGTCCTGAAACAGGGCACTGTGGTCCCCTTATTATTTGGTGACCACAGGCACCCGTGACCCTCAACGACTGCAGCTCCATACAGACTGATGAGACGGTTCTCTTTTACTTAAAAAAAAATCGGTAGATGCATTCGAGTCTGCTTTGAAAACCCAGCTCTTTAAAGCGGCCTTCCCTCTTTAGTGTGGTCGGTTGCCCCTGGTTTTGCTTTTGTTTCCTGATTTTCATTCATTGCGCATCGGGATCCTCCTCGGATGGAATGCCGCATTATACATTTGATTTATTATCGTCATTGGGACAGGCGCGCAGCATCAGCTAAGCTTTGAAACCCACCCATCTCGTACCCCCTTCAACCCACAACGTTGAGCCTTTGAGCATCCCCCTTCCCCCCCACAGATACTTGTGAAGTGGCGACTCCACCCTTGCGTGTCTGAATATAGTACAGTTATACGTGTGTGTGTGTGTTCATATCACCACGAGTTGTGCAATCGAAATGGGATGTCATTGGGAGCGGCTGCATGCCCATGGTGTATGTTAAACCAGTCGAGGCTTGTCACCAATAAAAATGTGACGATATGTAGAACTGGTTTAAACAATTCGCGCACCGTTCCAGTTGCAAATATATCTCTGTTAAACGCATTTTTTTTTTACACCCCTTACCACAAGTTTCACTGTGCAGACATCTAAAAACATTGCACTGTACACGCATTCTTTGAAGTTAAGACTCGCAAAGATGGGGTAGAGTGTGGCTACTCTCAATTATTTCTAATGAGGTCTTACCGGCGTGGAAGAGTAGGCCAAATATACCCCCTCGGGGGGGGGGGGGGGGGGGGGGCTCTAGACAGTCCCCACAAGCGAAAGCCCTTCTGCCAGCAGTGGCGTGGCCAAGACATTGCAGGAGTGCAGCTTTTACTTTTTATACATCGGTTAAAGTACTTTTAGAAAACACATACATTGCTTGATATACTACAGAAATGTATGGGCGTCCCATAACAGTTGGATATATGCGCATCGCAGGCGTTCGGTAACAATGAATGCGTTTGAGCAGTACGTGTTATGTTGCCTGTGAGGAAGCGAAGATGAAAATGGTTTGGTAAGGTACTGTGTAGCATTGAAGGAAACGCAAAACATCACTTAACTTTTGCCAATGTGCCAGTCTTAATGTATGCAGTTAAGCAGCTATCACAAGGAGTTCTACTATCAATTGCAGCGTATAACCGGAAGACTTATCAACGTGAAAGGCATATATAATGTGAGCAACTGCGAATCCTGAAAGGTCTACATTGATTCGACATTTTCAAGACGCCGTATTCCAATAAACACGTTTAAAGAGAGACTTGTATTCGTGAATTCTTGCATCGATTTCAATATTTGTTGTTATTCGTGTGAACAATAACCAATGGAAGTCTCTCGTGAACTGTCAACACATTCATCAAAATAGCACTTCCTTGAAATTATAAAAAGCGTATAAAGATTACTTTTTGGAGCAACGATCCTCATTCACAGCACATAGAGAGAGGCCAGAGGTAGATTGTGTGATCATTTAAATGACACATGTATTACATTCGCATACTAGTTTAATAGCCTCTAAAATATGTGTGTATGCAAATATATGCATTTGACACGGGCTGGAGAAGAGTTGGACCGATGCGGTATGGGAGGGTGTGGACTTGAGTGGACCTGCCGAAGACCTGGCACCAGCGGTGTCACGATAGGACTATGGATGAGGCTCGTGAAGTACGCTGCTGCTACTGGGCAGTTGGAGGCAGTCGCCCTCCAACAACAACGGAGGGCGGAGGAGCGACGCTCACAACAACGAGCGGAGAGCGCGGGGCGGATAAAATCCAGCAAGTTGGCACAGGAGCGCGTACCACTGGCGTGCATCTTCCAGTGATCACAGTCAGCCAACCCAAAGCACATGGGTGTTGTCCGTGCCCTCCCGTCAGCGAGCCTTCGACACTTCATGTGGCCTCAAAGTGCACCTGGCCTGGCACAGGCGCCGTGGTGACGTCACCGTCACTTTCTGGTGATTGGTGGGTATTGGTATGCATTATTTTAATACAATGGACATTATCAGTGATTGGTATATGCACCCGACTAGCACCTCTGCTACAAAAACGTAGCCGCAAATGAATGAATGCCCGAGGCAGTGTTGTAAACATGTAGTGAGGAAACAAGGTACGCGTTTGTACACACACCCACACACCGCTGCCTTCATTAACCGACCGCTAATTGCGCTCGCTTTAAAAGTGGCCGTTAAACGAAGTGGGGGAAAAAACAAAGTGAGGTTCAAACAACTCATGAAGGTTTTCTTTTGTTTTGTTGCAAATTTGAAATGAGGAGTGGACACCGACGCAGACCGCCGGACGTTTTGGGTTACGGACCGAGTCGAAGCGTGCTTCATCTTCGCAGTTCTCGAACACCTTGGTGTCGTAGGGCGAGTCTGGAGAGACAGAGGAGGAGACCGATTAAGAGTCAGGTTTTTTTTTTTTTTTAAATCCACACACAACGTGAGCACGTCTCTGGCACATCCGACTTTAGCCGCATCAATCACCTATTAATCAATGAGCTGTGATCAATGGGAAGAAAAAAAACAACAAAGTCCAGGCAGTCCAATTACGTTACATATTTTTTTTTTACATACACACTTTAAAAATCCACTTTATTAAAATGTGGTTCGCCATTCCAGCGTCACCAGATTGACGTTCAACAAGATGAGTACCGTATTTAAGTGTACGGGAAGATAGAGTGACCGATAAACACAAGGTCAATGGTACACTCACAATGAACTACTGCAGTTGCCTGTGTGCAGCATGTTTATGCGCAAGTGTGAGTGTGTGGGGAGCGGTGGTGCAGCGGTTAGCGCACTGCCCTATGAACCCGGCGACCCGGGTTCCATTCCCGCTCACGGCCAACACCAGTGACAATTATCTGAACCGGTCCCGGGCCTCCCCTAGGTCGACTAAGCCTCAAATGAGTACCTGGTGCGGTGTGTAAACATCGCCACTGGGGAAACAAAGGCGGTTGGGCGTGGTGCTGGCCACCCACCGTTCCGGCCTTCATAGGTGCTCACTAACAGCACTTGCCCCTACAATCTGTTAAGGCTATACGGGGGAAATTTGTGTGTGTCTGGGCACAACACTGCAACAGCAATTTAGTTGACCCTTCAAAATAACTGCTGTTTACAAACACGTGAGAATGTTTACCAAAAAAAATGTGTGTCACATCTTGGTGAACATAATATAAAAAAAGCACAAGAAAGGCTTACGGGCACCGAGGAAAATCCCTGTCTGTAATCTACTGTCACAATTTGACGCCTTTGACAACCTCACCCAGGTGAGTGCATGAGACATCCGTATACTAACAGCACATGGCAACTTACAACGGGCTTCATGGAAAATGCAGCATATCAAAATCCAGCACTTTATTACGAATCGTACATATAGCAAATTTTATATATCAAAATAAAATGTGTTGCACACAAAGCACACGGAGGTATAAATAAAAAAAATAACTAATTTGGAAGGCGTTCTATAAAGTAGCTTGGGAGTGTATGTTTTTAATATTCGTACGTTGAACTTCTTTTTCACCGTAAAGTAGCCAACCGTGCTAATCGGCGTGAGTCATTCGCGAAAGCAAGGCAATTGCTGTTAGATTAATGTGTGCTTCAATGTACTAAATACAGTTAACTCAGGTTATAATGCACCACAGCACTCCAAACACACGGACGTTGGACGAACACAACACACCAACTTCCATTGTGCTGCATTCAATGCCCTCCCTGCGAGAGGAAAGATATTTACTACCCCCGAGGTATTTGCTTCATGTTTCCTTCCTTTAACACGAGAGCCAATATTTACACTTCATTGCAACGCAGTATAACAAAGTTTGCTGGAGTGGGTCAAAGACCAGAATCCAGACGTGCAGTGTGCTGAACTACAACCATTCAAAATGACCTGTCATTTAATCAACAGCTTAGCGGCGCGGGGACAATACACCCCTAATGATGGCTAGAAAGTTTTAAAAAAATCAATCCAAGTGTGTATGGTGTATACACAGTACAAATTAGGGATAGACCAACGATTCATGTTGCATTGCTATCCAGGGACGCCTTTTTATGTCATGTTTATGCACAGTACCGCTTAAATGGTAAGTTGACTAAACTAAAACGTTTCGATGTAAAGCTTTCGTGACTGCAAGGATTAATCTTCTTTGGTTCTTTCGGTAAAGTCACGTAGAATGAGAATAAAATAATAAAATAAATAAGACAATAACATTTTTTCACCTGAAGAAGGCTTCTTGTGTTGTGGCTGAAACGTCGTGAGAATTTTATTGTCTTATTTTATTTTATTATTTGATTCTCATTCTACGTGACTTTACCGAAAGAACCAAAGAAAACCAAAACGGTTTATTTTAAGTCAATAGTTGTGATGTGGAGCAACTGGCCTTTGGTCGCAGGAATGTGGAATTTTCACCACAGGATCAGGTTCGCAAATGTAAACCGCCTCATTCTCGACTGAGCTGCGGATACACTTTTGACTTTGAACGATTCACGTCCAAAATAAATCAGGCCATCATATGCATTCATCGTTGGGGCATTAGCCTTGTCACGCAGCGACTCACCGACACGAGAGATAGCTGAAATGCCCTTGCCTTGCATGGTATCATTGTTCACAATGCCAACACATAGGAGTGGGGGGCTACCACGATTAACATTTCAAGCACAGTCGCAGGCTTCGTCTCAAAAGCCCACCACCTCGGACAAACACGCGTGGGATTTTCTTTTTTGGCGGAGGGAAATATGGGACGTCAGTCATGGAAGTGCGTACGGACACAACAGGAGACTCGCAATGGGGACACCCTAGGATTAAACTCCCCAAGGAACCATGCGGCTTGGGAGTTCCACAGAGATTTATTGGTGCAGAAAGCTCCAGGCCAATTCAGCGACTCATCTGCCGACTTCAAACATTAAGAGATGATGAGCATCATGATGTGGTCATGATCATCATTCGAACTCAAATATATTTTGGGAAGCGATTATATTATTAAATATGATCAACTTTTGGACATTCGGCAGCATAATGGCTCCATGCAGGATACGTTTGTGTATGCTCTGAAAACAATGCCGGAGAACGCCTTATCACTGAAAACTCACAATTTACAACATTATAAGCACAACTCCCATTGCATTTTGCTTTTTCTGTCATGTATTGGTTGACCATTGACTCTTGGACCTGAGATTGTAGCATAATTAAGGATCAGGAGGAACTGTGGCAGGTCATGGAAGGTGTATTTACTGTATGTTTAACACGTAGGCTTTCGCGACCAATATTATTCATAATAAAGGTTTTTTGGTTAGATCGCGTTATTTATAAATGTGTCGAAACCCTCCACCACCCGACACGGCCAATCAGCAAAATAAAGTGTCACGTTGACAAAAGACAATTAGTTCACTACTTTAGCACACACTGTAAAGTTGCCCACCGTGCTAATCGGAGGTGCGGGGAGGACAACAAACTAAACACAAAGAGCACTTCTAAATCAATGCGATTTTTTATCTAAAGTGTAATGTACTCGTATACTCTGTAATTCTTGGCCAAAGAGCACAACGCAGGCCTCAAACAATATCCCGGTCAAGAGAAAAATACTCATCCCCTGAATAATTCAGGAACGCGAGTGATCTCAACCCTAAAAAGGGCCCTATCCATTTCATTACATCGGCATAACCCAGTTCTCGCAATACAAGGGATTATTTCACACAAGTGCACGGTGCTAAATCTACCTCGTGACACAACATCAACAATCAGACAATATCCATCCCTCCAAATATAATATATATTTTTTCTTACACATTCCCTCAGCCACACAGCCTTCCAGGCGTGCATGAAAAAGTTGTGGTAGTTGCCCTCAATCAGTGAATCAAACATCCAGAGATTTTTTTTGTGTTAGATCGCGTAAATATATAAATGTGTCGTTAAACCCACCACCACCCGACACAGCCAATTAGTAAAGGTTGTCACGTAAACAGAACATGCCAATTCGTTACTAGTACAGCACAACGGTGTGTTGGAGAGCCAAGCCACATTTACCATCTGAGTATGACGTTTCACCAGTAATTACAACTAGCTTCATCAGGCAACAGACAGATGTGTGGAGAAGTCCACCTGTTTCGTTCCTTATATAGAGGCGTAGATGTGGTTACCAAACTTATACTCTCTTGAGTCAACGTACATTACGCATGCGAATTATGCGGGCCCATTGATCTTGTCCTTCCTGTCCATTGTGTGTATCAAACAAACAAACATATAAACATCATCTCCGGTCGTGTCCAGGACGTATACTCAACTTAAATGTAATATTTGAATCACGTGCACAACGTCAGTCCCAGTTTCCCTCCAAGGGCTTTCGCCGCTACATCGCTTACCGAGTGTCAGCGTTTCTCCTGTGTTACGGCCAGTCACTGTTTTGCGGGAAAGGAAAGGAACACCTTAAGTCGGCGTTCAACGACTCTCTACACAAAATATCAGCTATCAGAGCCAGTCTCGGTTCGCAGGTGACTTCGTCACTGGCAAAGCAACTGCCTTCTGCCAATCCGGAGGGCGTGCGTTGGTCATTGTTCCCGAGCGATGCTTCCACGGCATTGCACGGAACCCTGCGATGGAGCTGGAGATTCAGCAGCTGCACTCGACGACTCCCCACTTGTGTGCGGTTTGATGAGGTCCTCAAGGACTGGGTTCGAGACAAGAATTGCACCCACACATTCATCACTCCTCTGCCATAAATTACGCAGCTAATAGTCCAACCCCGGGCATTGTGAGCCCCGTTTTTAAATTATTGCCCGAACTGCCGAACTAGGTGAGCCAGCAGTGAGTCACCCGCGTTAGCGGAGATCTCCTGCCGAGCTGTAGGGGTGCAACAGGGAATCTACAACCGTAATGGGACAAAAAGAGTAATGCTCCACCAATTTAAATGATTAAGCATTGGATATGCATGTCAAAGGTCCACAGCCACGAGTCAAACTAAAGTTTTGAAGAAGATATGCTTAGGCGGTAGATTGTAACCACTTTTATAATTGAAATAATATAATACACGTTACGGTGTGTGTGTGTATGCATTCATACTTAGTTTGCACATCATGGAAAAAGGGCACAGTGGTTAAAACCAGCGTCTATATTCACACCGTGCAAAACGGTAGTCATTGTATGTATATAATTATCCACAGGACGTATTTAAGTCACTTACATATTCATCAATTGTGGTGCATTGGTTTTATAGTGCATAATTTGTAACTTTAACGTTTGAAAGTTCAAAACCTGAATGGGTATCAATTCACAACATATATTCCTTTTCTAATCAATAGCCACGTTGTAGGAAGTCAAGAGAGGTCTTACTAAGCATAAACTCACCACCATTATAAAATGTGGAATTTTCATCACCGATTCA